CAACAACCTATTCAAAAGCCATCTCCCTCTACTCACTGATCCAGTGACCCCTGGCAACTCCTCTAACTTACAGACGGCAGCTGCCTGTGAAGCATCCAGCTCCCTGCTSCAGCCACCCATTCCCAGCTGGGAATCACAACCACAGGTCTGCAAGGGCAAAAGAGCAGGCAAATCAGACAGGCCCTAAGATGGGGAACATCACACACAGATGGGAAGCTGGAGGCTCCATCTAATCCTCMCCTCCAGCTGAGATGCTGAGCTGAAGACACAAGAAGGCAGCAATAATTAAATAGATTACTGAACACCTCAGAACAACTTTCAACCAGATCCTACTAGTCAGCAATTAGCTTACTCCTTGGAATATAAATGTTATTACTCTAATTTTCTAATATAATTAACAATGAGAATTCTTAATAGTCTTACTACYCATGTAGGCATGCACTCCTAGCTTTTGAATTTTGTTTTTTTCATTGCAACAGAAYTTGACTGCAAAGAGTTTCATTCTAGTCTTGGCCCCGGCGACCCATTTCTGAATCTAGAAATGTATAAGGACAGTAAGCCACAAAACAACTTTTTTTCAATGTTCAGCTTCTCTCCGCCAATGAAGATGGAACTTTTTATTCTGAAAATTATGAACATCTGAACTGCTATTCCCCCCAGATTTCATTTAGCTCAAAATGCTGCCTCCCCTGACAGGCAGTATCAAATGCTACAGACAAGAAGACGAGAGCAAGCATGGAGTGATACTTCCCAGTGCACTCATCAGCATCTTGCAGCTCAGAGACCTCCCAAGCAGAAGTATTATCTTCTTTAAAAGGAATCTCTGATGGATTTTTGTAGCATTTGGAACAAATACACAACGAGAACAAAGTCTATGGCTGTCTGAGCCACAGAAGCTGTCACTAATCACCACAAATGCCATGCACCCTCTTTCAGCCAGTGCATGCTAAGGGCTTTGTGTCTCTTGCTGCTTCCACCAGAAGGGTGCTCTTTGATTCCAGTGCTCCAGGTAAACCATTCCTACTATCAATGTCAAAATAACTGATCAGGCATGATTCTTCCCACCAAGTGGCCCAGCTGTTAAAGGTGATATATGTCACTTTAAATCAAGAGCCTGTGCAAACYTGGCAGGATTCCAGTGAGAACCAACAGGGTTCCCAACAGGATCCTGCCTGGTTTCCTCATAACTCACTCGGTGGCCAGATGAACAGACCACCTGATGCTACACTCCCAGGAAAACGAGCAGCAGACAAAGGACAGCCACAACCAGCCATGGGAACTTCAGTAGGAAATACATCTATTCGCAGCATTAACGATAGTAAAATCCTTGGAGGTGAAGAATTACAACAATCAAGGAAAAATAATAATGATGCATTTAGAAAAGCTGAAGAGAAAACAAAAATGAAGAGGGGAAAAAGAAAAAGCAGGCAGTCTCATCTAAAATGAAACTATTTCCAGCAAAAAGGTGGTATCTGCTAACCAGCCCATCTCCTTTGGACAGAATGGGCCTCTCCTGACTCCTCACACAGTAAACACCTTTATTTAGGAAGCACTCAGGAAAAGGTGAGACTGTCCTKAGGAAACTAAAGGAAAAATATAACATATCATTTCAGTACGTCCACAGCAAAGTTTTCCAATGATATCCATTTCATCACTGTACAATAGTCTCCATGGGAAGTACTAAAGCCCTCAAAAGCATGAGAAACAAGTTAATGCCAGAAAGTMATGAGAATAAACTCTAAAGAACATTCCTGCTCCTGTCTCCAAGGACAGCCACCTCTCTCACACCTTCCATGAGAAAAGGTACTGCTCCACTTACATGTCAGAAAGTCAACTGAGACAACTTCTCCAAAGGAAAAGCATTTCTTTGGTTAGCACACAAGTGTACTGGYTTCTTCCTGACTTCCATTTCGAGTTCAAGTCTCATTAAAACAAAACCAAAAGGCACAAACCAAACACTGGGCGCTCCAAAGTACCTTAAGTCTTCTTCCCCCTCCATTTCCCTTTGTGCCATTAACTTCCCACCTCTCTGGTGACAGCCTCAGGTGACTCAGCCATGCCAGAAGCCCTAAAAACTTTTTCTGATGTTGCCCAAYACTCCCCACCTTCCTCCAAGCTGCTGCTGTAAAGAGGCTATGGCTGTATCCCCAGCACAGCAGCTGTTTTCCTCACAGATCCCAACAGACACACACAACTATTTCAAACAGTGACAGACAGACAAGACTCCTTYCTGAAAAGCTCACCTACCTCACAATAACATTGTCAAAACCAGGGAAATTGGTTCAATGTYAAGCTGTTCCACATGGGCCCTTTTCCCTACTCCCTCACTGTTCCTCACACTGCCATTACTGACCACTGGCAGGCAGATCCAAGGACTAGGAACTCTTCAGCTTGGCCATAAAGAGGAGTTACAAGCCTTAAATTGTACAGTTTTCTAGTCTGCAACCAAATCTAAACTTAGCAAAATTCAAAACAAGGCTCGGAAATAAGCTGCACAATACTATACATGAAACATTATCAAAACCTATTATGTTGGTGATCCTTCAAAGGACACTTTGCAGCATATTCTCCTGAAATGTTAACAGATAAGAGTTAAAACTATTGCCCCCGCTAGCAGCATTTAAATTACTCCATAKGCCTACAATATCATAAAGGTTTCCCTCTTGTAACAACCCCTTTATTTGAATCCATAAAGATAAATCTGCAACAAATTAGCAGAGCCCTACACCTATTTTAAGTGATGTGGGGTTTTCCCCATTCCCTGTTCCTCCTGCTTTTGACAGTCAAAATGGGCATTTGGAAGCAGGGCCATCCAAGCCACAAAGTGCAGCAGTTTTCCTTCACACAGCACCACGGGCCAGTTTGTGAGAATCCCTTCAACCAAARRTTAGAACAAGCAGCAATGTCTGCATYGAGCTGATATTTTGCCTGCCAATCACAAACAAATCMTGATGCTAAAWGAAGCACATGCACTGTAATATTTCCTGTAACATTCTTTTTATTAGAATACATTTAGAGACTTTTATCTTAACCAGTACTTGGCCTTTTCTTTTTTGTAATGTTTTTTTTTTTGTGTGTGTGTGCCAGGAGTTGCTTCTTGTTTTTAAGAGATAGAGTTCTACACTACAGACTTTGTTACACTTCAGTTCCTACAGTATTTYGGTAAAGGTATTATTGAATATTGCAATTGAAATAATTATACTTGGCAAATAAGCAACCTAAGCACCCAGTGGAATGTGCTCTCTCTTCTTTCTTTTCCAACACCTGCTCAATTTTCCATTGSTTTGCAAATGACAGTAGTTTGCTCTTCCATTACCATGAATGAGGAGCTTTTTTTGAGTACAAGTAACAAGGCTGAGGTGGTGCACAGCCTTCCACCCTACACTATCCAAAATAATTTCTCCTTAACTGCTGCCCCCTCTGGATTCATACACTCCTACGAACCACATGCAATACCTCAGATCATTCTCATGAATAGGGCACAAAACATGGCTCAGGTCCTCTGAAGACACTACTCTGCACAGACAAATCCTACTAACGATGTACTGGGAGCAACAGTGACTTTGTCCAGAGACAAGGAAACATCTTTAACTCCAGCAGAGTGTGGTTTTCCCCCATCTTTCTTAGCATGACTTAAAAACTCASGAGGTGAACTCCAGGTATATTTGGAGTTTGTTCCAAGCAAATCAGATTTAATAATAAAGGATTCAGTTACGATCAGTAATTACTCATTTTAATGACAAGCTTTAAACATGACTTGCCACAGTTATTAGTGAAAGGATCTGCAGTAGAAACTGAAACAAAAATCCCGAGGGCAGATTATTTCAGTGTACCAGGCAGCACCACCCCAGGATTTCCACCACAGCTTTTAACAGCTCGAAGACAGGTAGATGTTGCACAGTGATGACAGATCCTTTGGCTGCAGTCCTGAACACACACAATGCAAACACTGCAGGTCCCTGWTGTTTGACTATGGGGTAGCGTGCTCACTGCTACCACTTGCAGAGCACAGATTCTACCTTATGCTGAGGAGATGAGAAGAAAACAAATCACCCTTCCAAATCCCGAGCATTCATAAAAAATGGTCACACATTCATCAGCATAGCCCTCTCTAAACCTGTGTGCAGCTGAAACTGGGATATTTCCAATGTGGTTTTCCATGTGCAAGCTCTGCCTTGTACTAAACAGCAGTGGTTTAAAATGCTGAAGTTATATATATAAAACATTAAAATGTTTCTAACATCACAGGTCTCAAAGAACTCGTCCATTTCGTAGTACTCTGTAAGAAATTACTTAATAATCTATTTCAAGATGATTACCATTTTCATAAAATACCTCTTTTCCTAATATCCTGAAGACCACATTTGTTGATTTGAAAAATACAAATATCCAGTGACTTGAAAAGCAGAACAGATGAATGCAAACATAACCATCAGCACCACAGAAACKGCTGAAATGCTTTGGTGTTTATTACGTCTTTCACTGCCGGGGTGGTCCAAGCCTTGCACGGGCTCCATCAAACCGAACAGTTCAGGTACTCAAAGTATCCGAACAAACACAGTTCACGTTTAATTTCTCAATACGAAACCRTACGTTTGCTGTTTGGGATTTTTTTAAGGATTTMTTTCCTTTTATTCCGGGCATTTAAGCCAAGTTCAGCCCGCTAAGGGCAAGCAGGCGAGCGAGGATGCGAGCTCCGGGAGGCACCGGGCGGGTCCCGGCCGAACACCCGCGGGGCCTCAGCCAGGCACGGCCGGGAGGAGCCCCCGGGCACCGCGGYGCCCCTGCACGGGCTGAGAACGTGYGGAACCGGCTACTGAGCTGCTGCCTGCTGCAATTCCTTGGCCCTGCAGCGGTGATTTGTCTGGCACGCCGGTGATCCGCGGGCACACGGCCGAGGTGAAAGGCGCTCCGGCAGCGCCACACGGCCCCGGCCGGGCTCGGCCCTCACACCGACCCGGGACCCGCCCGGCAGCCCCGCTCCCCGCCGCGGTACTCACCACCTCGGCCAGCTTCAGCCTGCCCAGGGTGCTCCGCAGGTAGTCCAGGTCACAGCGCAGGCCGCCCAGCCCGCGGCGCTGGCTGACGGGCTCCGTGGTGGGCTGGTAGGGGCTGCTGGCCGCCGAGATCATGGAGGCGCTGGACGCCTCGCCATCGAAACCCTCCAGGTCATCGCCGTTCCTCATGGTGCCGGTGCCGCCGGGGGGTGGCCGCGGGCTCCTGCCCGAGCGCCGTGCTCAGCTAAGGCAGAGAGGGCTGCATGGCCGCCCCGCGCCCACCTCAGGCGGAGCGGCGCGGGGAGCGCCCGGGCAGCATCGCGCGGAGCGGGGCCGCGCTGCGGTGCGGGGAGGCGAGGAGCGGTACCCGGTGCGCTGCAGAGAGAGCGGGGCGGTGCGGAGAGGCGAGGAGCGGTACCCGGTGCGGTGCAGAGAGACGCGGGGCGGTGCGGAGCGGTGCGCGGAGCGGTGCCGCGCTGTCCCGGAGCGGAGCCGTGCCCCGGCCGCGGGCGCGCAGCCCTGAACGCCGCACCCCGCCCCGCAGCTCGGGGGCACCCTCCCGGCTCCGCCGCCCCGATTCCAATCCCGGTTCCAATCCCGGTTCTGATCCCTATCCCGGTTCTGATTGTGATTCCGATCCCGATCCCGGTCCTCGTCCCGGTCCCGGCAGAGCAGCCCAGCTCCGAGCACCGMCGCCGCGGCCGCTCCTCCCCCTGCGCGGAGCGGAAAGGGCGGGCAGACCCGCCCCGGAGGGCGCACAGCCGGGCGGTGCCTGCGCCGCGCCCGCCCCGGGGGGGAGGGACCCGCACCTGCCCCGGACACCGCGGCTCCCTGTGCCCTCCCGCCCGCGGCCGCTCGGCTCTCTGAGTACACCGCTGGCAGCGGGACGCGCTTAGGGCTCTGAGCTCGCCCCTCGCAGAGCACTGAGCTCCGGCAGCCGCCCCGGGCTCACGGCCGAGYCCCTGCGCTCGCACTGCGCCCCAGCGGCTCCGGCAGCGGAAGCCTCCGGGCTGTTCTGCCACGAGTGTTGTGTTCCGAAACGGTGACGTTCTCCAAGTTATTCTTGACTGGCTRTCAATCGGGTTTTGGAGGTACTTTTTCTTTTAATGTGTCACGACAATTAAATTCAAATTGCAACATAACCTGGCAAATCCAGGTGAATGAAATGTAGCTGAGTGATTTTAACACAGCCAGACCTCTGCATACCATGAAGTTGAAGTGTTCAGTGCTGTATCTTGTGATCTGCCATCATTGTGAACCAGGCTGTGAGAGACCACTAYTCCTTATCACTGACAGTCTATACTGTCACCTCCTCCGCATTACAAGACTTTAACACGCTAATTCTTCTACGGTCTTCTTCTAGTCTCCAAGAGTCTAACTTACTGCCATTCTTCATGAGGACTGTGAATTATCCACTTTGGGATTTCATTTCCACACAGTTACCTGTGTGTTTTACTTCGGTCTCCCTTTAAGTTCCCTTGAAGCTCCTTTAATCCTTCTTTTCACAGGTTCTGTACATGTSATTTTAAATTTCAAGATATTTTCCTTCTTTCATTTGGCCTCAGAATAAACATCCCCAAAGAAGGAGGGGCAAGGAGAGAACCAGGAAAAGAGTCAAGGGTTTGTTCACCACTGCCAGTCATGGCTTGGTTAACTGGAACCACAGCTGACTGTGCTGTGTCCTTCCACAGCTGCTCTGCTACACCCTGGTACTGGGAGAGGCCAATTTCTCAAGATGAACAGTTGGAAAAGAAAACCATTGTGCTTCAGTGAAGGATGAGTGGCAGGGAAAGAAAAAAAAAAACTAAAGAAACATGAGCAAAGCCTGGAGAAGGAGGGTAACTCTGTTGCTTGGGTCACGCGAACCTGGCCAAACAATAGGAAACCATATTGTGAGGGGGAAATCCTGCTTTGGCACAGCCTGGGCTAATAGCTATCTCAGTTCAGTTCCTGTATAACTCTGGGGAAATCAGAACTCTCACAAAGCTCTTTTTCTTGCAGGAAGTATCCTGAGTATGTGGTTGTCACTATGGAGAGCATCTCTGGGTTGCAACCTAGGGCTCCATGGCTGTTTCAGGAAAACAGGTAATGCATGTTTACCTGCAAAGACATTTAGCCTTTTTTTGAAGTATAGTTTTCTGAACTGCTGTGGCAGTTCTAGAAAACTGTCCTGAGAAAAACAAGRAAAACATTTTTGAAATATCCAATTGAGTATTATTTTTGGTCAATCTTTTGCAGTTCTGACCAAAACACACCAGTGTTGAAAGAGAATGAAGAGGTGGTGTTGAAGAAGGACAAAGGGGAAAGATGGTTGAGTGTTTTAGCAAAAAAAGGAGGTGGTAGGAGGCCTTTATTCTGGCTGTTTGCTTCATACCTCCTGCACACCCCTCTGCAAACTTCTTAATCACTTCCTTTTCCCCTGGAGTGGAGGACRTGAAGTGTGAATGTATTTAAACCATGAGAGCAGTTTGGTGGCACTGGGAGATGCAGACACACTGAACCCCTCTGTTTTGGGCAGCCAATTCCCAGGGTAGGGTGAGCACAATGAGCGAGCTTTGCTCCAGCAAAGTGTCCATGGAGCAAGAGGGGGACCTGGTCCTGGTGTGTGCTGAGTGTCCCAGCTGGCAGGGCAGCTCC